AATGTGGTGATTTTTGACGTATGATTGTGATATTGGGGGGATGGTGTTAATGATGACCACGACGGCCGCCATGACATAGCTATCAGCGTTGACTCTGAGTATGACTGAAAGATCGCGTTCGAGGAAAACTCCTGGGCAGGACTAGATTGCGGTCGATTGGGCAGGATTGGGTTAGATAAATTTCGGTGACTAAGTGTTGGGCAGATTGGGCTGGCTGAACTGGACTGGGTTTACTATATTGGAATCATTGGGACGAGTGTGCTGGACTGGGATCTCTGGACTAGGACTGGGGGGTGACTATTCATTCTCGTGGCATTGGTTTGGGCTCCTTTGGATGCCTAGGGATTCCTGAGTGTTTCTTCCGTCTCGTAAAAGGTTCTGATGGACTCCTCTTGCTGGTTGAATTCCTGCGATGCCCTTTGGGCCCTGGGGATTCATACTATGTGTTCCGACGGCTTCCCACTGACTGCTCAAGATTCCTCCAGACTGCTATTGGCTTTGTGGATTATCGAGTTTTCCTTTGGCTTCCCGTGTGTGCCCCACGTATTGCAGAGAGGGCGCATCAGTTCCGACGGACTCGGGTGGATCTTTAGCAGTTGGATGATTGCGGATGGCTGGGGGTGTCAGCGGATCTATGCGGATGTTTGCGGATTTGTGCGGTTGTTTTTTCCTGTGGTTCTCGATCGATTGTTTTTGGGATGTGTGGATTTTTGTGATTCCCCATGAACCCTTGTCAGTTCCGACGGGTCCATATTGATGACTTCCTATGGTGGCCGAAGGTTTCCTGTGACCCCTTTGGACTCCTCACGATTGTTTTAGATAGATTCCGAACAGTACGCAGTACCTGTGGACCCCGGTGGGCTCTTGCACCTTCGATGCACAATACTTGCTTCTGCAGTATGCGGGTGGTGCAACTGTTGCGTACCCTTGGGTCCAATCCATGCGGCGCGGTCCATGTTGTACACTTGGTGGTACAGCCAAGACGCTGAAATACGGAACATCTTGAATTCAGAAGTGGCTCGATGTTCCTTACGTCTTTCCGCGGTTGTTCCTCTAGCCCTTCTCGTGCACCCAGGCTTTTTTGAAGCTGCAGAGGGGCTTCGTTCCTTATTTAGCGTTCCTCATTCAGCAGCCCGACTGTACCATCGATATCATGAAGCCTAGGTGTTGTAAGTCACGTGGTGCACCATGTGCGGTGCAAACATCCTGGTGCAAAGTTAGCTGTGTGCAGTCCATGTGAGCGTCCACAAACGCCAGCACAAGCGCGCGGCGCTCACGAGGCTTCCACGGGTGGTCAGGCAGTGTTGGTTGAATGCGTCCCGATCCTATGCGTCGCAATTGCTTGACTCGGCTTCCTGTGGATTTCTATTCTTAAAGGGGCCCTGGGACACACACATACATACACACCTATAACAGGATTCCGCATATTTTCATGTATTTTCTGGGTTTTTGTCTTCCTCCCCACTTCCCATATTTTCCCATATGTTCTGGGAATCGACGGTTAATGGTGTCTGTGTGTTTTCCCCTCCTGAATTCTGTGGATTTCTGAGAAACTCC